GTAAAAGAATGTGATCATGTTCTTCACCAACACCACGACCTTCACGAATCTCCATCGTCATAGAGCGTGAAACTACATCACGCGAAGCCAAATCTTTTGCAGTAGGCGCGTAACGTTCCATGAAACGTTCGCCCTTAGAGTTTAATAAATAGCCACCCTCGCCACGAGCACCTTCAGTGATCAGACATCCAGCGCCGTAGATTCCAGTGGGATGAAATTGAACAAATTCCATATCTTGAAGAGGAAGACCGGCACGAGCAACCATCGCATTGCCATCGCCGGTACACGTATGTGCACTTGTGCAAGAGAAATAAGCGCGTCCGTATCCTCCTGTAGCTAATACAGTTTTATGTGCTCGGAAACGATGCAAGGTACCATCTTCCTGACTTAAGGCAATCACTCCGCGACACACGCCATCTTCCATCAAGAGATCCAACGCGAAATATTCAATAAAGAAATTTGTATTATGCTTAAGAGATTGTCCATAAAGTGTGTGAAGAAGAGCGTGTCCAGTACGATCAGCAACAGCGGCACATCGGTAAGCTTGGCCACCTAAATAGATTGATATAAGTTACTGATTATGTCTAGACAAATAAATCAAATTCAAAAAAGGAAAACTTCTTATGAGAATTATGATGTTGATCATACCCTGACCAAAGTTTAGACTTTGACCACCAAAAGCTCTCTGATAAATTTTACCCTCTTCAGTTCTTGAAAAAGGCACACCATAATGTTCAAGCTCTATCACCGTGCGAGGAGCTTCACGACACATATAATGAATGGCATCTTGATCACCAAGCCAATCGCTACCTTTTACTGTGTCATACATATGCCATCGCCAATCATCTTCAGTCATATTTCCAAGAGCAGCATTGATACCACCCTACATGTAGTTAATATTCATTATTGTTAATATCGAGCTTTTTTATAGCGTAAACGCGCAAATTTGAACGATAATAGCAATGAATAAATACTTGTGCTGCTACTGTGTGTGATCTAGTAGGAAAAAGTTTTGTAATACATGCAGTATTGAATCCTGCTTCTGCGAGACCAAATGCTGCTCGAAGACCAGCGCCACCAGCACCCACTACTATGGCATCATATGTATGATCTATGACAGTATATTTGCTGTTTATATGTGGCTATTGCAAAAAGAAAATAATTCGGCACAATAAACACAACATAATTTGTATATACATTTTGTTATTTAATTCAACTATTTAATGAGTTTGAGTCTAGCGACCGATCGAGTATGGAATTTTATATATACTCACTGGTGCTTCTTTAGCACGCAAAGGTTCAGTCGCAACTATTCTTGCAATAGGCTTAGAAGCATGGAAAGTTCGTAATAATGTGGGAGTAGACTAATTTCACAGTGGGGTTGTTTTGGTCAAACCGCTCTTTTTTTAGCAACTTCAAAGTTATTTAACAACGAAATCCCAATACACACGCGTATAAATTTATTTTGCCGAGCACCCGTTACCAACGTTCGAAACATTAGAGCTACCAAAACTTTTTTTTCAGAGAATAACGACGAACAAGTAAAGGAAAAAAAAAGCTGATAATTTGAGTATGTATAACGATAATAGAATTTCAATATCACATCGTCGAAAAAAGATCGTACGTGAAGGGTAGATCTTTATGTGTCATGTTTAGTGTCTTGTATTTTTTGTTGCCACATGTACTTTTTTGGACAAATAAGTGACCTAGAATCAATCGAGTCATGATGCTGATTTCTGGATTAATTTCCATTAATTTTCGATACCCTTGCCGGTTCTTTCATTTAAGTCATACGAGACGTATGGTGTTTTAATAATATTAACTGACACATATTCAGTATATATAAACAGTCAACATAAATTAGAAAGATCATTATTCTAATCAATATTATTGTTGTGCTTCATGTTATAATTATTCATGTTCATGCTCAAACAAATATCACCAATATCCGCCCTCACCTCCACCACCATCGCCACCACCACCACGAAGGGCCAGCACCAAATGTAGAACGGAACCGCCTTCTATGCTATACTCGCTGGCCGTCTTTTCATCGGACCTATTTTTTGTATTGATGTGGGGGTTGAGTAAATGATTGATTGGTTAATTATGAGAGAAATGAGGATTCTTGAATGTGATTCAAAATTAAATAATACATTTTAATAAGATAAAGGTTAGCGGTAAAAATTCAAAAAAAAATAAACTAATATAAAAATCGATCAAATGGAAAATCCACGAAAAAAATTTACATTTGTTTTCCACCAAAAATCAAACGTTGTTGCGCGGGTGGTATTCCTTCTTTCTCTTCAACACGTTCCTTGATCCGTGTAATCTATCGGATAATATGTATTATTTAATTCGATCACAGCAAATTTATAACGAGGATATTGCAAAAGTTTTTGTCCATCCCACACCATATACAAAGAGACACACATACTTTATCAGATGGTTCTATATCAATTTCAATCTGCGGTGGGCGAAAAGAATTAAATGTGTTTAAAAAAGACACACAAACGGAAAAGACGCAAGCAGAAAAGAACATGCGCTTGAATCTATATTTAATTTCGTCAAAAGATTATGATGATTTGATTCACTTACTTCTTTCCCAGTAAGAGTCTACAGATGTTTACGTGAAAGAGAAAAATTTCACCAGCGTAAGAATACGAATGCAAAAGACACGTAATATAATTTCTTAAAATGAAGAATCTCCAACAAAGATGTGTTTTACCTTGACTTTAATGAGCATTTTTTTTTTGAAATTTCGTGTTTTTTAGGTTACAGCGGTATAATATTTAAGTCACGGCGAAAGTGACAGTAGAATAGATATTCATGAGAAAGACAGAATCACGTGAAAAAATAAGTTATGCTAAATTGGATGTGGCTTTTTCCTTAATAATTCTTTCTATAAATAGAAAGAAAAATTTCTCGATGATTTATTTATTTTGAGCTTTGCTTTATTCTTTTGGGCGTGTTGCATAGAGAAAAAATAACGAAGCCTTTTTTTTAACAGAAAATAAACTATTAGACGAATATCATAAGATAGAGAAGCTTTTGCTATAGTATATACCGTGTGAGATAAATAGGAAAAAGTCGGAAATTCGCGGGAGTGTATGGTTTTTTTGAATAAATAATAAAAAGATATTCTTACCAATAATAAGTGGTGAATGCATTAAAGAGTGTCAAGCAAATAGCAATTCCAGCAATATGAACAACATTTCTATTGCTAACAATAATGACAACCACAACAACAGCAACAATAACGATGGTAATAGTGGAATTGACCGTAATGACGTTACCATAAATTCACAACCGATAAAGATATTAATAATACCAGAACCGGTTCATCATCAACAATACCCACGAGATCATTTCTCTTCAACCACAACTACAAATACAATAGCAGCAACAATCATTACCAATAATAACAATCTTATTATTAACGACAACAACAACAACAACTACAACAACTACAACTACAACAATGATAATAATAATAATGTGAATAATAACGTGAATAATAACGTGAATAATCATGATCACACGAAAATCATCACCACGGATATATCACAATCTCATTGCTCAATGAAACAAGAAAAAACATTGCCATTACCCAAATCAGTTCACGGATCAGTTCATGAAGTTATAGCAACAGATCTGCCAGCATCACATCAAACGAATTCCAATAATTTTAATATCAATGTTTTTAATAATAATAATAATAATAGTAACCTTAAAAAGATTAACAAGAAAAATAACAACATTATTGGTTTTGTATGTTCATTTCCAGGTTGCAATAAATCATTTACAAGACTGTATAATTTGAAGTCACACCAGAAAACGCATACCGACGAACGACCATTCAGATGTAATCATTGTTCGATAGCGTTCTCGCGAAACCATGATCTAAAACGACACGTGAAAATTCATATAAATGCTAAACCGTTCAAATGTCTCGGATGCTCGAAATTATTTTCAAGGTAAAAATTACCATCATCAAATATCGACACGTTAATTTACATACTGACATCTTCAAATACGAACATGCTCACCACACACTCCCTCATATATATATATATATATATATGGTTTGCATAGATTGGATGCTATCAAACGGCACAAAACAAATCCAAAAAGTCGAGAAGCTTGTCGTGATACTGTGGTGGCTAAAGTGTGATTGATGGCGATTTCTTTTAAATTTTCATTATGTTTGTATATAGAGTTAATTCCTTCTTTTCGAGAATTTTCAATGAAAAAGGAGCAAAGATTATGTCAGTATTCCTTCTATGCGACAACAACAATAATTGATAATTCCTAAACTTTTTCAAAGATTATTATTGAAAAATATATATATAATTTGTAAATTCATGTACACACATCCCCTCCTTTTAAAATATCTAAATCATTCCCCCTCAAAAATACACAAGATGATTTGGTAGATTGCTTATTTCATCGATATCTGTAATTAATGTAACGTGCTGAGATTTAATACTATTTAACTAAGAAGTAGTTGCCTGAAATAATTGATTTCATCGATAATTATTAGATTACCCTTTTTTTTGTAATTCTGATCAAAATTCTCTAATGAATATGATCATGAATAATTATTATTACTTTTGCTGTCGACTGAAGGATCAGCTGTTAAATTTGGCGGCATCGGAACATCGCTAAAATCATCTTGCTTGATTGCAAACATAGAATAAGAATCTAATTATAAAATTTATTTTCACGTGCGGAAGGCGTGAAACAACAAATATATAACAGAATTAAAAGGATAAACACCGTTCTAAGCACTGCATTAATTGATTTTACATATGGCATTATTCCTCAGGAAAGATACATACACACAGCAGCAGCAAATCCTAACAACGAGATTCCAGTCACAGCATTCCGGACTCGTAGTGGTCTTCGTGCACGTTCAAGTGCCGGCGTGAATGTATACGTCTTGGTTTGATATTTTGACGGTTGTGTTAGCATAATAAAAGTAAATAAATATGAAAGTTCTATCCCATCTTTCGACAAAATTTTGTACGTTCACGTGACTCTTGGGATGGATATCGCGTGGAACATGAGGGTTTTTCTCTTTGATATACATTTCTTTTCACTCCAAGAATTTATACACATGCGTTCACTAGCAGGACCTCATTCGTGTTTAACTTGCAGGGTTCTTTCATCTTCTTCATCGTCCAATCGATTCACACCCTTTCTGACAAAATGTTGTAATCGTTGGATTTGTAATAAATGTCTACAAAATAATCCACGATTCTTCAATTACTGTCCCTTCTGTCATCGAGTTGCTGATATTTCATCGTCTTCTTCTAGTGATACTATCAATAAAATTAATGTTGAATCATTGAACGAAGGAGAATTGAGCGCAGCCTACAAGAATGACGACGATTTTATGAAAAATGTAGAGCCTCCGTCATATCGGGAGATATTTTCAGATGATAACAATCAGACAATTTTACCTACCTATGATGATGTTTTGCGTGGATTAAATTCCGCAGAACAACAGCATCCACAGCAAGACGAAAAGAAGCAAGGATTAAGAGATGATGAGAAAAGTGAATATGGTGTGATACATTATGTAAGAAAAGAAGATACATTGCCCGGATTGGCGTTCAAATATGGAGTTGATGTAATTATCAGAATTATTAGATACCCCTTTAATAGAACTTTTCGTTGACCTCATATAATTACTAATCCAGATCCATGTGCAAAAAGATTGCGGATATTCGAAAAGCAAATCGATTATTTGATAATAACGTTTTCGCGCGCGCAAGCTTGATTATCCCGAATTATTTCGGGCCATCACTATCTGAGAAACAATCGAAAGGGGATGGTATTTAAATATAATATTTTGTTTTTCTCTTCTTTACCGATCAGCTTTTGATGTAGTTTTTCAATACTTTTTATTTCCAAAAGAACTTAAATCCCTGATCAAACGATTTCAACTTCGTTCAAAATGCGTTGATCCGGCAGAAGCAAAGTACTACATGGAGCAATCAAACTACGATATAGATTCTGCGACGCAGGCATATCGTGACGATGTACTATGGGAGATGCAGCATTCAAGACAAGAAAATCGAAATTTTTGTAGCAAGAGTAAAAAAATCGAGTAAAATTGGAAAATTCGTATTAAATTAGTATACAAGAAATTTAATCAGACTCATCTTTTACGATTTGTCGATTTTGCAGCATTCGGTGTATAGAGGGAGGGTCTTTTTATTCATAATTAATAATAATTCAAATAATATAAGCACTTAATTAACATATCTGAAAATCTGTCAAACAAAGAAAAATGTGATTTGAAATTATTTTTTTATATGGTGCGAGAAATAACTTGCTCTAAGTTTGAGAGAGCACCCTTATTTTACTGCTTTGCTGTGTTTACAATTCCATCCAACTAAGTTAAATATAATTTATAAGAAATCTGAACGGAAAGGTTTATTAAAGCCATACTGTTCTATCAGGCCTACACGAGTCTGCGTCATTTCTGCTTGAGCCTGCATGATATCGAATTTAGATTTTTCCTCAAGCAAATTTCTCTTCGCATCAATGTTTTCCTTGTGTTCATTTATCTCCCAGAAAAGTTTATTTTGCTTCGTCTTTTTAGCGTTCTTAATATAAAAATAAAAAAGGCGATAAAAAATTTCTTGTCGTTCATGTAAAATAGAAATAGGCAGAATTTTCAGATTTTTTTACCGGTAACTTGTTCTAATTGCATATAAAGTCAATTAATTTTTACTAATTATTAATTAATAAAAATTAATTGATTTCATATGCAATTAGAACAAGTTACCGGTAAAAAAATCCGAAAATTCTGAAAAAAATATATGTTAAACTAGAGAACTTTAGCTATTTTTGAGTTAAAAATAAAAAATATTTGTTAGTAAAATTAAAAATTTTTATATGTAAGAAAAAATATGTATTTTACTAATTATAATTAGTAAAAAAATTTAAGCATTACATTATTTTTGATTGCTACTGTATATTATATACTATCAAAATCTGCCAGACTATTGAGAATAACAAATATCTGAATCAAGAAAATATTACATTAAAATCTTTTTTTAAATTTGATATTTACTTGATAATAGATATACTGAGTTTTCTTACATTATTATTAATAGAAGTGATTTTATCAATCTTTCTCTATAACTGTCATAATAACTCAAATTAGTAATCATTCAAATATAATTTATAGTAAAATAATACAAACTTTACTAAATTTTGATTATAGTATAATATAGAATTTACTCAAATTTGATCATAACACAACACAAAATCATGATCTAATCACAGACAGAATTTATATTATATCACAGCAAAAAATCATCAGTTCTGACTGAAGGATGACCAAGTATACTCAATTTCATTGCAAGTACTTGTCATCAAAAATTAGAGAAATGATCTCTCAAACATTTGATTTTATTCTTGTGAAGAGAATTCATTCTTTCATTAGGCTGTCATTTAGATGAATGAATATTTATTATCACAGTTTGACTGGAAAAGTAGCAGAATATGTGATCAGAAAGCATAAGAGACATAGATCAATCAATGAAGAGATTATGATCAATAAATATTAAGAATATGCATTATGATGGTGAATATTTTTATTTTTTGGTGTGATTATTCTTATTTTATTATGAGAGGTATTCTTTACTTGCTTTGTCTATATATAGACTAGCAGGTATTAATTGTGGCAGATTAAAATGAAATTGGATTAAAATGAAATTGATATCTTTTTGAATCCTCTTTTAATGCCTCTGAAATTCATATATACTCTTCTATTAACAAAAGTTACCCTAAATCCTAACCCAAATTCCAAAAAAAACCTAGAAAATTGCCCCAAAAAAAATACGAAATTTTCATATTAAAATAGAGAATATTTCATTTTAATCCGATTTCATTTTAATCTGTCACATTAATTAAATAGCATGACAATTTAACTTCTGCTAGTCTTATTATAGAGATTAGCATTGATTTATCATCGGTTGCATGATTGATTACATCACTATATAATGCTAGGGTTAGGATTAAAATTTGGCGTTTCATATAATAAATTGGATATCTTATGCTGTCCTGCACTGTATAACCACCAAAATTTTTTTTGGCCCGATGTTGTATTTTGCTCCTAAATACGATTTTCTACACACAAATTCCCATACGCCTGTTTAGTCATATGGACGGCAGACGTACTGGAAGTGCGAAAGGGAGACCATCACTTTGTCATATGGACGGTGACCTTCTCTTCGTAGTCGCCTGCCGGTTGGTTTAACATATGGTGATCAGTCCGGTAGAGGTGTGCGTGAAATGACCTTGCTTAGCCATATGGGCGGTGAACTTTTCACGCACAAAGGTAAGCCACATATTTCGCTTACCATATGGGTGGCGAGAGTGTGGTTTCAGCTTTTACTTCTTATATATCATCTGGGCATGTCTTAATTTATTTAATAAGCTTTGTTTATATATATATTATAGATATCGTTTTAACCTCAAACAACAAATATGAGAAATATGATACATCGTAAATTCTATGGTGGCTGTAAAATCGTTTATCTTTACATTTTCTTTTGTACCTCACATATATTTATTCGTGTAAAATAATAAATATTGAAACCAAACTTGCCTCCTTATTTAGGAACGCAAAACAGAAACATTGAATATCACGGCATTCCAAGAGGAAGAATTTATTTTGGAACAGGTTTAATATAAATGGCGCAGGTATCTGATAATCTTATATTAATTTTCATTTCTGACTAGTAGATTGGAAAAGTAAATATGTGACAATGCTCAATCATTTATTTATTCATTTTATTAATCTAAGTGCGAAATACCTATTAGCATCTCAATAATCGTCATATTACTCACCGAAATCGTTTTTCACAATCCTCATATATAGAAGTAATATCACGTCAGAAAAGAGATTCCGGAATCAAAACTTAGTGATGATGCACTGTGAAAAGGGAAGGAACCGAAAAAGTATATAAGCTTTTTAAAAGTATTGGTGGTAAAGCAAAATTTCACAGATTAGATCTATTCCAGCAAGATTTACTTTCATGTAATTGTTAAGATTTTATAATGCAAAAGTATATATAAATTTTGTTCGAATTTTTATTGGTGCAAAATAGTGGACATTTTAGACTGATGCGAAAATATAATTTATCCTATATAATTTCATAAATAATAAAATTTAAAATGATCCAGTTTCTTTGTTTTTTGTGGTGTGCTTTCATAAAATCAAATTACACGTTACAATTTGTAACGCCGATCACTTTTGCCAAGACAAATTCTCGATCATATATGCGTGACATACATCAGAAAAATAATTCAATGGAAAGTAAACGTAATTGTATATGCGGAATCGGCCACCAGGGCTTGCTTTATTGATATAAAGAAAATTACGCAAAAAAAATGTTTACCTATTCTTGATCAGAAGATACTGTTGTGCTTTTTCGCTTAAGTCGTTCCGATCTAGCTTCTGGCGCATTCAATAACAAAGAGACGTTAACAATTGTAATATTCCGTAAAAGCAATAACGCCTCTACAAGTTGCAAGACGACTTCCCCATCGGTCGCTTGTATTGGAATTTCGACAGAGCGTAAACAGTAGAGACAGTGAATTTCATCAGTATCCTTTATTAAAACATTCAGATGCATTGTTTTCCCAGCAATTTTGGAAATAACTCACACATAGCTTTACCTTGATTACGTCAATTTTCTTCGAGTATAAATAATAGAGTCATATCATTGCCGGAGGCGGTCACTTCGTGGCTAAATCGCACTCAAATTTTTCGTATAATTAATACACTGTGACATTGATGTCACACTTCGACCAACAAATATATACCTATCTGATTAACGTACATTCATTTATCTTTTCCCACGCTTCTTGTAAAAGTATACGCTATTCGTCCCGCCTTCTCGTACTCGAAGCCAGATTTTTTGCGTTATATATATATAGCATCATGGTTGATATCTTGTTGATCGATGTGTGATGGGTATAGTACATCTATCGCCGGAAAATTAAATCATATGCTTGTAATACATCCGAAATAGATCTTTTTCCTTTCCAGTTCAGAAAAAGAAAAATAGCTCATCTGTCTGTTAACAATTACCTGCTAACTATATACATCTGGCTTCGAGTGATTTATCAGGAGAAGGTGGAATTTCACGTGTCAAAAATAGGTCATAATATATCCACAGCACACGAGCAATTTATACATAAATATCATCACAAATAAATTCTTTAGAATAACTGCAAAGCAATGATCCTTTAGATCTACAATTCTTGCTACAACCCAGGGCATTTACTAATTTTCACCCGAAGTTTCTATTGGTCAGAGGAGATCCCAATCTCCGATTGGATGAAATTGATAGCGCCACTTATCATGTGGATCAGAGTGGCTAGTAAAATGAGTTATGCAGTGTAAAGTGTAAATTTATTAAAGTATGTAAAGTAAAATAAAGATTTCAAAATCTATTTTGTCTTTTAAATCTCATTCTTGGTGCTATATTAGAGCTTTTTAGCTTATTATCACTAGCAATTTTTAGTATAGCTTTAGTCTTTATAATTCTAATCCTTTTTATTTGAATAGCTTGTTGAATAGTTAATTGTAAACTATAAATATCTTGTTTCTTCTTATTCTTTTATTCTGTAATAATTACTTCAAATTCTTCTTATAACTTCTTAAATTCCATATTCTTATCATTTGTCTTAGCGTTCTTGTTATTTATTTTAGTAATCTCATTATTGATCTTAGTAATCTCATTATTTATCTTAATAATCTTAATAATTTTATTAATTATCTTTCTGATCTTAGTGATCATATTATTTATCTTAGTAATTTAATATTAAATATGCTGATCATTCTCTATGTTATCATCATAAACTCAGAATTAACTCAGAATAGTAAAGATGTATTTATATAATAATTATCATACTTAAAAATTATAACAAGAACAGATATATGAAGTAATATTCAAATTATTTATAAGATTTCTTTTTTGAATAGAATACTCTATATTATCATTCATTATTGAATACACTATTCAAGTATTCAAGTTAAGATTATAAATATTATTTTTATTAATATACATAGTTTCTGTAATATTTTAAATCTACTATTATTATTACTATAAATTCATTCTTCTAATTTTTAAGTTATCCAAAAAAACTAAGAAATCTAAATCTCAAAGTATAATTTCTATAAGTAAATATACTTCACTATTTAACTGTTATCTTAATTATTCTCTCATATATATATATTTTAATTTATGATAAAATATTGTAATTAATCATCTATTCATGTGGTATAGTAGATGCGATATAGTATATAATGCAGCTATAGTACGTGATGCAATAATTATCAATTATTATTAAATCAGATAAATAAGTAATTCTTATTAATTAATCTTATTTATAATTAAATCTATTTTTAATTTATATTATTATCCATATTTAGTCTTATTTTTTTATTAATTTAACTATATGTATCGTACTTAATTTATAGTTTTATTAAATTAATAATTTTCTAATTAATTATTATTAATTTTCTTTCATTTCTCACTTTAGCTTTAAATAACTTAAT